CATACATACACAGACATACATACACAGACATACATACATACATACATACATACATACATACAGAGAGACAGACATCTATAGGTGCATACATGCATAGATTTAGTGTTGGGTGTGTGTGTGTGTGTGGCTGTCTGTGCGGTTTTTTTGGTTTTGGCACATGCCCGTGTTCTGGGTACAGCTGTACCAATAATTGCATGGGGTTCAGGGGTGGTTTGTGGTTCAAGGGGTAGAAGCATGGGTATGCCGTGAAAACAAACCTGGGTGGCTGGGCCAACTTGCATCGACAACCTCAAAGAGGTCACATATAGGAGCCAACATGCTGTGCACACATGAGATTCGCAATACATCGCCGAGCCTCGTTTTCTTATGCAAATATGCAAAACAAATAGCACTGCCTGGCAGGGTCCAATGGATCCCTTTCGTGTTGTATTTTTGGGATTCGAAGCCGACACAGCCTGTAGAGGCTTTAAGAAGACAGCCTGTACAGGCTCGATGCAGCCTTTACAGGCTAGAACGTGAACATCCACACAACATGCATGCAGGAGCAAGCTGCAGAAGCTGTGCACGGAACATAAAGCAGCCTATAGAGGCTCAGTGCAATGGTCGTTTTCTCAGTGGCGAAACATCTTTGCCCCATCTCGCAATATGCTTGTTAGCAAGCATACCAAACCCAGGGTTTCTTTGAAACCCGAGCCCCTAAACACATCGGGACGAGCCGTTGTAGAGGAGCCACCACCATTCAAGACAAGCAAGCTCCTCAGTGAACCTTCAGCCCATGCTTCTTTGCATACTCGAGCCATTCTTGGCGATTCAATCTCAAGCCACCAAACGAAGGGTCCCGGCACTGTGTGCAACCCTTGTGGCAACCACGGCATCTGAGGCACCCGATCTTCAGCTTCTGCTTCGGTGCCTTCTTGTCGTGGTTCTGCTTGGTCTTCCCAGCCTTTGCAGCTTTCTTGCTCAGCGCTTTTTTCTCCAATCTCGCCATATGCTCCGTCTCGATATCCTCGAGGGTCTTCTGCTCCGTGTTGTTGCCATCTTGTGTGCCCGACAAGGCCTCGATGGATTGCAGCTGAGCATTCACCATGTTGCTGTTTGCAGCGGAATCAGCAATCTTCGCCTGGTTCGTCTGCTGCTGCTGCTGCTGAGCATTCACCGTGCTCGGCTCCACAGTGCTGCCTTGCCCTGCACTCGCCGTGCTTGCTTGGCCATTGGCAGCAATCGTGTTGGGAAGACCAGTGCTGCCCGACGGCAGCTGCAGCTGCAGCTGTGCTGCAGAAGGATCGTTCGGCTGGCCTGCACCCTTGTTCTGAAAGTAGACAATGTTGGGCTGCCCCTGTGCTTGCTGCCCGAAAAGACCATTACAGCCTTGCACATAGCTTGCCCAAAGCTGCTGCTTCATTTCCGGGGTCAGCAGGTCTAGAATCTGTGCCGGTGGCGGCTGCATCTGCGACTGGGGCGGCTGCATCATGGGTGTCTGTGCCACCAATTGATGCTGCTGGCCCCGGTCAGCAGGTTGCTTGCCAACCTGGGTTTGCAGGGTGGGCTCGAAGAAGCATGCAAATGATTTCCAGTGTAGCTTCTGTCGAAACTTAAAAGAAAACATGTATGGCCCCAAACAGCTTCTTTGCTCATTGCCACGTATAACATAAAACCTTAAGGCTGCAACGGTTGCAGCGATAAAGGTTAAAGCCCAGAACCACGAAGCAAACTGCAGTCCCCGAAAACATTCTGTTGAAACACCGACATGAGCCTGTAAAGGCTGAAACAAATGTGCTGACATGGGCCTCTAAAGGCTGAAACAAATGTGCTGACATGAGCCTGTAAAGGCTGAAACAAATGTGCTCGGCTTGCATTAACCGCATAAGAAACCATGTGGAACCCAGGAATGTATATATATATA